GTGATGTTTTAGATTGACAGAAGTAAAAATTTCGGTTAAGAACATACAAATTACCGTTTTCTGAGAGACTGTAGGCAATCTGAATACATTTCCTTCGTCTAATATGGAAAAAACTCCCATATTCTTGACTGGCTTTCTTAATTTTTCATTGAAAATGACAGTTTACAAGATGGTTTTTCGTCTTGTTTACTTGCAAATTATGCCCCGGTACACCTTATTTGACCGCGCTATAGTTATAAAGCATCATAAAAGGAATTTATTTCTCAAGTTTGAGAAATCTGTAGGCTCTTTTCTGAATTCATTTACTAGATCTTGACCTTAAGATGTAATGTTTACCATGATATGTGGGATATTCTATAAACTAGCAAGAAGGGTGTTTTGTAAAGGAAGACTTCGGTTGACAAGGGCATTGTTTTCTCTCTTACTAAAAATAATTGCTTTTGCTTTTAAATTGGGTAATAGATCCTAGTTTAAACCCTTTTTTATGGATTACAAGCATAATGAATAAACATACATTTGACAAAGATTAAACGGGATTTGGAAACAAGTTAAAAGCATATTTATCCGTCTCCTTTTTAAAATTGGAGAATGAATGTCAAAATCATGAACACCTATATTTAGAACACGAGAGGACATCACCCACGACTATTTATCCGATTATAAATGCAAACCGTGCCCCTCCCCCCCCCCTTTTTTTTTTACATATCTGCTGGTTGCATTTATAATCTATGTGCATTTTTTTTTGGTGAAATATCAATGACTTAATTCATTTCACTGACAACGGGAGAGCAAGGGGATTACAAAATTATTACACACTTATTTGGTTCTTATCTATTTATTTTTAAAATGAAATTTTCACTCTTCTTTTTCTTAACAAACCCTGACTGTGTTCCTTTAAAATCGGAGTTAATTGTAATAGTATTCGGGTGGAAAATGAATTCCTTAAGTTTTGAAAGCGACTTTAATACTTTTATATTGAGATTAAAGAAGTCTTGAATTTTTTGAGGTAATGTTAATAGACAGAGAATTTTTGTATCACTTAGACTCTGCTCAGTTTTCTATGCGACTTTTTGGTAGGTACATACACTATAGTGCGATGTCACTGCGACTCTACCCAATATATATTTGAGCTCGATGACATTTACAAATAATTCCACAACAGAGTATTTGTGCATACATGTATTTACATCTGTTTCTGAAGTCTTTTAACATGATACCACGACAAAAAGTAAGATTCGCATAGTAGCTCTCATTCTTCGTAATTTATAGATTTTATGTAAGCTCAGATGGTTAATTATAGGAAATTCAGGTAATGCAAGTATTTACATGCCAAAAAATTAGCATTTTAAATCCAACCATAAATTATCAGTACATGAATATACAGAACATGTAAAATCTCTTGCTAAATGTTATCCTTTGAAAATGTACATGTAAAGTTCAGTAATGGACATGTGCGTTGGGTCATACCCAGCGGTCCCGAGCGAGGTATATGTTGCGATATCATTGCTATGGAGAAACAGAGAGAGAATACGAAACCTGCTTCTGGTCGTAACATCTTACCTGTAATATGCAGTATGCAGGCGCGGATCCAGGAATTTTTTCCAGGGGGGGGGGGGGGATCCACCCCAGTCAAAAAAAAAAAAATTCCAACCTAAAAATTTCTTGACAAGCAAAAAAAAAACCTAAATTCCTTTCCCCATCCAAAAAATTTCTTGACAAGCAAAAGAAACAAAACAAAAAAAAAAAAACAAACAAAAAAAAAAACAAAAACAAAAACACACAAGAAAAAACGTAAAATCAATTTCCAAAACGTGAAAAACACCTATTTCGTGGTGGTGATGGTGGGGTCCACGTTTTCTAGGGGGGGGGGGCAAAGTCATTTTTTATTTGCTTCAGTATATACTTTTAGTAACTCTGCAAATTCCAGGGGGGGGGGGGTTCCGGACCCCACCCCCAACCCCCCTCTAGATCCGCGCATAGCATGCACAGATGGATGGGTGGGTGGGGAGAGTCCGGAACCCCACCCCACCCCTGGAATTTGCGGGATCCTGGATACGCATCTGTGCAGGTGTTCTAAAAAAACCCCAGAGATTCATGTCTGTAATATTTCTTAATTTTAAGTGTATTTAAACTGTATTTAGCATCTGGCAATATATGGTTCCTCAAGTAGGATTTGGGGTCCTGTTGCGAAGATAGAACTTGCTCTGCACATCAATCTATTAAGAAAATATAGCAGGATCAGGTATGTGATAATTTCTTAAAATATTCGACGGGGGAGGGGGAGGGGGTTGTTATGTGGGTAAACGAGCGTATGTCGGGGAAATGGTTTGATAGTGTGCGAATAATAAAAATCATTCACACACCCTACATTTGTCTATATTGATGGCAAAGAAACTTCATCTTTGCTTTCGGATTCAAATCAAAATCAGAGACAAATTCGGGAGTATAATTCTTTCTTTGTTTTCTAATGTCGGACAGGTTAAGTAATAATGAAAAAACGATAAAAGTTTGTAATTTTTTAAAGAAGAAAATTACATTACTAAAAGATAAAGTTATTTTCTACCTGAACGTATGTGTGTGTGTGTGTGTGGGGGGGGGGGGGTTATTCTCATTTGATCTGTATAGGAAATGTTATAAAAAACATTTTATTACTATAACTTGACAATTTAAAAAAAAAACTATAATTGACTTTAACGTATGTTCTAATTTCACAGTTATAATAATATGAAAAAGTATTTTGATTGCGCATTTAAGAATTAACCACATGCATGGGAAAAAAATACACGTGAACATAATATAATGATTAAATAAATGTGTCACTGACTTATTTAACTTACATTTAAATGCAAATGCTTAAATAAATTATTCAATCTTTTTATAAAAAATGCTGTGAAAATGTAATAATACTAAAGAAAATCTCGATAAAAATAGAGAGAAATCACGCAATATTTATGACGTCGCCAGGGACATATATGTCCCTCCCGCAGCGAACGGTAAAAGGACATATGTGTCCTTCCCGCAGCCAGAGGGTTAAAATAAGAGTGGGAATACAGATTAACAAAATATATACATGTTTTCTATAGGTGGCCACAACATTTAATAGACATCACACGACTAAACTGCTAGATTGTATCGCTTTGAGCATTGCAACTGCAAGAGTGGGACAAATGCCAAAACGCTCTACATCATAATTCAAAGATATGGAAACCATCAATGTTGCAACCTCACTGGCCACCACCAGTAACCACAAACGGTGCGCAGTCATGCAGCTTGGAGCTAGAAAGTGTTCTCGGACAAGGTCATTTTGAGTTGATTTGACTCAAAGACATCCACAGATTCGGATACGTTGAGCAAAATGGCTTATTAACTTTACTTTTGCCGATTAGACAAATGCTCCTTATACAGATGAGGGAAAATATTGAGTGGTGCGTCAACAATTTTGTCTAGTGTAAATTAAATTCAAAGGTTATGAAATAGTTTCTGTTGTTTTTATTTTAATAGTGTTGATATTTGCAGAACTTTGATTTAACATACAATTCACTAGATGCTAACGTTATTTTTTTTTCTCTTTTTTATACCGAGGAACTAATATAAAAATGCATGTCTAAATACGCGCGCATCGTAGTTGCTAAGAGTTGCTCTAAATATAAACACATAATTCATATGTGAATGAAAGGGATTGAAGTATTATCTTAATAGTTTTAAGCGTTTTGAAAACATCACATACTTCGCTCAACTTGAAACAGAATATTCTCATACGACAGAAGTTATACATCGACGAAAATTATCAGGAAAAATGATTTTGTTTCTAATTATTTCTTTTATCACTGAATCTTCATAGGATTTAATTTTTTTTTCATTAAAAAAATAAGGAAGGAGATGAAAGGTTAAAATACTTAATGATGAAGAAGAGGTATAGCGCACTTAGTATACCAAATAGCATGCAATATCCCCGATTCATTGTATTCAATGCTGCATACTAGCTGTGGTGTCTAAGCCAAATTTAACGATATACTCAGTAATTGGGAACACGTATACATGTATATAAAATACCCAATAATTTTATCAGGTGTACAAGCTGATTATATATACAATATGTATATAATATGTACTCGATTCCATTGAAAAATAAGGAGGATCTGCATCAATATTTTTTAATGCATGACATTTAGTATCAACCTCTTAATTATCTGGTTTTTTTTTTTTGGTTTTTTTTTCAAGATTCAACTGTATTTCATCTGTAATTAACATTTTACAACAGATAAACTCTGAAAAGGAGAGGAGTTTTAATTTAAAACAATAGTCAATATAATATGTAAACGCAAACATATTCCCTAAATCATATAACTGAAAAATTCATAAAACATTGACACATAGATGTTTTGACAACGTTTTATCTATGTCGCACTTCATTACCCAGCTAACACAAAACAGAAGACACCACTGAGTTTGCCACATCTCTTTCATATTTAGATGTTTTAAAGACTATAGACATTGATGGCAAACTAACATCAGTGAATGTGTTCTGGCACAGAGAATGTAAAACAGTACCAAAGTTGATATTTTCATGTTTAAGGACATCATGAAGATAGGCGACAAAGAAATCAACAAAATTATTTCATAGCGGGGCAGATTCTGGCCAGAAAGACATTTAAAAAAAGGAAGTGATATCCTCGAGTTTATGGTAGGTGACAAATAGAATCTGAAGATATTTCATTAAAAAAATTGACATTTAAATGTGTTTATTTTGATGATTTGCATGCAATGCAATGTTTGTTTAGTGTATTTTTGGATTTAAATGGGGTAGAAAATTTTCTTTTCAGAGTCTGAAATGGGGATGGAATATTATTCTTGCTATGCTTTTCTCTTTTAGCCGTTCTGTTATCTTACTCCTACGAGTAAGAGCCTTGGTTAACAACTACGCTCCTTAGTCAAAAGTATCTTGCAGTGAACCTCTACCATGCTGGAGTACATGATACCTGAATGTACAACACTGACAGTTTAGTATATTTTTTTTATTTGTATGTACAGCACTGTCTCTAAAACACCACTGTTTTAGAACGTTAAGTGTGGCCGAGATGTTGTGAATCTTGGCTTGTGCAGTTTCCTGTTCAGTCTGTGAGTGAGAGGGAATCGGATCTTGCTGTTCTGTAAACAAAAACAAACAAATAAAAAATAAATATACAGGTATGGAAAACTGGAAAGCAATTTCTTTATAGATATCACAACTCCTGCTCTAAAAAAAATTCCTCAATATTCACGAAGTCAAGACAACAAAGTCTCTGAATTTACACTAGATAAGGATTAAGGAAACTGAATTATAGGTGTTTCTTTTCTTTCTTTACGCCTCAGCTAAATACAAAGTGTTATTTCAATTTTTTTTTAAATAATTTTTTTTTCTTTGGTATATATAGCAAAAAAGTTTTCAAGTTAATAATACAGGTAGGCCATGCATTATTTTATCTATAGAAAAATTAAATGAAGCTGTACTGTTGCCTGTAGCCATGACCAGTACATGTACTACTAAGACCACTCCCTCCCCTCAGGTAACCGTACGGTAAAAAAAAAAAAAATTGTCAACTCAGGGATTTTCCACTCCATTTTGGGAATGGGGCCCATGGAATTGGGAATTTCACAACATTTTATCACTTATTGGGAAATTTTATTGCATGGAGTTTTTCAAGAAATAAACACTTATGATGAATAAAATTGATCATTTACTCATTCAGAACTGTAGATCAGAGAATAGATCAATTATAATAAAGTTTTAGCCAAGTTTCTTAAAATTTTGTTCATTTCATTTAGATTTTAAACCTGTCCATGGTTTTTTTTTTACCAGAACTTTGATCATGTTAACTTTGTGGGTTCATTTTTGGGGAAAAGGGAGGGATTTTGCAATTGGGAATGGGGCCCATATTCAGCCCTACACGGGCAGTGGAAAATCCCTGCAGCTACCTGTAACTTCATTGTCTTTTCACTCAGTACTATATCTTCAGAATCATGCATGATTATCATCATCCTATTATGATTTTCAGATAAGCCTAACCAAGATTGATATTAACAATTGGTCAACAAACCCAGTTTATTACGTACATGGAACTGTTTGATGTTTGGTCGGCGTGTCTTTGATGCCGCCACCTCCTCCACTCTGATGATCTGGATCGTTGATGCTCTTGCTCTGTGACGGGCTCCCATATCCCGGTCTACAAAATAAAACAAGAGGCCCATGGGCCACAACGCTCACCTGAGTAACTTTGGCCTTGCTGTTCTTCACCTGATTTCCTACGTTGTTATACCTTTTGTGGCCCCGCCCTACCCCTGGGGGTCATGATTTGTACAATTTAGAATCTACACTACCCCAGGATGATACCACATAAGTTTCAGCTTTTCTGGCCCAGTGGTTTTTGAGAAGAAGATTTTTAAAGATTTCTACTATATATTTCAATGTAAAAATTGGATTCCCTGTTGTGGCCTGCCCTACCACCGAGGATCATGATTTGAACAATTTAGAATTTACACTACCCCAGGATGCTTCCACATAAGTTTCAGCTTTTCTGGCCAAGTGGTTCTTGAGAAGAAGATTTTTAAAGATTTTTCCTATATATTTCAATGTAAAACTTAGATTCCCTATTGTGGCCCCTCCCAACCCCTGGGGGTCATGATTTGAACAATTTAGAATCTACACTACCCCAGGATGCTTCCATATAAGTTTCAGCTTTTCTGGCCCAGTGGTTCTTGAGAAGAAGATTTTTAAAGATTTTTACTATTTAGTTCACTGTAAAACTTGGATTCCCTATTGTGGCCCCGCCCTACCCCTGGGGGTCATGATTTGAACAATTTAGAATCTACACTACCCCAGAATGCTTCCACATAAGTTTCAGCTTTTCTGGCTCAGTGGTTTTTGAGAAGAAGATTTTTAAAGATATTTTCTACATATTTCAATGTAAAACTTGGATTCCCTATTGTGACCCCGCCCTACCCCCGGGGGTCATGATTTGAACAATTTAGAATCTACACTACCCCAGGATGCTTCCACTTAAGTTTCAGCTTTTTTGGCCAAGTGGTTCTTGAGAAGAAGATTTTTAAAGATTTTTCCTATATATTTCAATGTAAAACTTAGATTCCCTATTGTGGCCCCGCCCAACCCCTGGGGGTCATGATTTGAACAATTTAGAATCTACACTACCCCAGGATGCTTCCATATAAGTTTCAGCTTTTCTGGCCCAGTGGTTTTTGAGAAGAAGATTTTTAAAGATTTTTCCTATATATTTCAAAGTAAAACTTGGATTCCCTATTCCGGCCCCGCCCTACCCCTGGGGGTCATGATTTGAACAATTTAGAATCTACACTACCCCAGAATGCTTCCACATAAGTTTCAGCTTTTCTGGCTCAGTGGTTTTTGAGAAGAAGATTTTTAAAGATATTTTCTACATATTTCAATGTAAAACTTGGATTCCCTATTGTGCCCCCGCCCTACCCCCCGGGGTCATGATTTGAACAATTTAGAATCTACACTACCCCAGAATGCTTCCACATAAGTTTCAGCTTTTCTGGCTCAGTGGTTTTTGAGAAGAAGATTTTTAAAGATATTTTCTACATATTTCAATGTAAAACTTGGATTCCCTATTGTGCCCCCGCCCTACCCCCCGGGGGTCATGATTTGAACAATTTAGAATCTACACTACCCCAGGATGCTTCCACATAAGTTTCAGCTTTTCTGGCCCAGTGGTTCTTGAGAAGAAGATTTTTTAATGACCCCACCCAATTTTTGTCTTTTCTTGATTATCTCCCCTTTGAAGGGGACTTGGCCCTTCATTTTTACAATTTAAACTCCCCTTCACCCAAGGATGTTTTGTACCAAGTTTGGTTAAAATTGGCCCAGTGGTTCTTGAGAAGAAGTTGAAAATGTGAAAAGTTTACAGACGGACGGACAGACAGACAGACGGACGGACGGACGACGGACAACGGGTGATCAGAAAAGCTCACTTGAGCTTTCAGCTCAGGTGAGCTAATAATTATCAATGTATTACATATTAAATAATTTACAGAACATGCAAAAAAAAAATTCCCAGTGGTTGCTTAACAAGAGTATTCCTAAATAAAGAAAAATAACCTGTCATTCAAATGTTATGCTTCACTTTGGATGAATAAATCAAATCAAACAAACACTTTTAAGTACATTTAATGTTATTGATGCTATTTAATTTGATGTGTTACATCTGATGAATGAATTGATCATTCGATTCAAAAGTGAAAGTACACTTTGTTATAAACAATATGTAGGTTTAAGACTCAAAATTTTCATGCCCTTTGGGCTTGTAAGTATGCATTTCCACATGCCCCTTCCAACTCTACTAGGTCCCAGACATTGGACTCCCAGAATTTGTCAAGGACTGAATAACTTGGAGACAATCTTTTCTATTTTATGGAATATAAGCTCTAAAACAAAGAAATCCCTTATCTTTCCACTTCAATTTTTGGGGGATTAACTTAAAAATGAGTTATCGCTCTTTAACTGAACTACAAATACTGCATTAATGACACTACTGTTGGAAAACTCATTTTATCTTTCCCTTTTAGATGTTTTCTGAATGCTATTTTCACCTCAATTCAAAATATTCATGACATTCAAGATATTAATGTTCTAGATACCCAAGTTCAGCTGTATGATATGTTTTTTGGATGACAGTCATTATACTTACAACACTGAGTCACAGCACCAGCCGCAGTCAGATCGCGATATTCACGGTACATATTGTGGATTCCGCTACGAGAGACGTATCTCAGCCAGATGCCAATATTCTTGATCACCAAGGGGTGCTTCTCGTACATCTAAAATTAAATTCAAAAATCTAATAATTTTGTAATGAATTTTTTTTTTCCCCTTACATGATAGAAATCTGAAATTAATGATGTATGAACCAGTGTTTTTCAGATCCAAGATTACAGCCTTTCCCCTTGGAAATGTGGTAATTTTTTCCCCTAAAATCAAGATATATTTAACTTTTTTTCTTAGATTTCAATGTTACTTTTTCCACCAATTGAACAAAAAAAAAATTTAAATTGCTTTTAAATCATGGGTGAAAAACACTGTGAACACTCAGCATCATAATAATAAGACTGTAGCTGATTTGAACCAGAAAGTATGAAAATTTATTTAGAACTGTAAACATTAACAATCTCGTTTACAAGTACACATGTATATTATTACAAAAGTTTTTCCTCAAAGTTTACTCTCCTTCATACAATAACATAGACAGATTATTTATCACATTTAAGGTGCACCAAAAAAAATCATTAAATTATTCCTGTTGTTCCATTTAATTAGATTATCTTTAATAAATAAAACTCAAAGAGGACTTAAGTAATAAAAGTATCTTTTATAAATGACTGTAGAAATATGAATATCCTTCATCAACATATCAAATACTCTATTCTTGTTTCTTTTATATAAATAAAATACTGTTTATACAAGAGTATATTCAGAGATTATTAATACTGGCAGCTTGCAAGATACTTAGCCAAGATAATTTACATCCTTACATACAGGTCACCTCAATTTTTTGGTCACATAATATTTCATTAAAGAGGCAGTGTATACTGTATTCAACCATGATTTGCATGTGAGAAACGTCTTCTTTAGTTTGTGAATACTGTATGTGTACATTGTACTTTAAAAAGCGGGCTTCATATTTTAGCGGCTTTGGCACAGAGAACGATGCGCTAAATTATAAATACCGCTAAGAAATCATTTATACATACAATGCATGTGTAGCGTTAATTCATGATTATGCCAACAACTCCATATCGAGTGATTGCGCTTAATTTTGAATAATTTAATTTTGTTTGTATTCTAGCCTCTGATTGGTTAATATCCAAAAAGGAACACAAATTATTTCTGTATAACCTGGTTTGGTATGGGGACCCCCCCCCCCCCCCCCGACAATCAGCTGAATCATCTGTATCCATACAATCCTCTCATTTCCAGTCCTCGGGATTCATGGAAAATTCCAGATTTAATAAATGTACCTTTAACTTCAAACAATAATCCGATCTTACCACATGTAAACAAACAACAAGGCTGCTAGGCCTATGTATCAGTTTTTACCTCCCCTTGCTTCCCATCACTTCCGTTACTAGGGTTGTATTATTGAGCGGCAAATTTGAACTAATAAAAAGCAACGAAATTTTACACCCATAGTTATTTAATGATTTTAAAATTAAATTATAAGGAATGACTCTAATACTTGGCCAATTTATTCGAGTATAACCTGGTTTGGGTCAGTTTACGCTGTTTTATAATCTGCTTCGAATTATTTGGCCAAGAATTAGAGGCATTCCTAAAATACGCCAATTTATGTACATGCACAGTATTTCTCGCCACAAACCAATGATTTTCTTGTGTATTTAAGTGTTTTCTCAGTCACAAAAATTTGTAGTGGCAGATTGATTTCAAAATCACGAATAAAAGATGTCCTGAATAATAGTTGGTTTACTGTACTGTCCTGGTGCTTACACCATGAGGTATACAGAAAGTATGTATAGTTGTCCATAGTGATGGGCCGATTGTCGCCGACGATCGATTGTCGGTCGTTAGGAGCTCTTCGATGCTACTAATCGATTACAAAATAAATGTCGCCGACATCGCTGACAAAAAATAATATTTTAATACTTTAATTTTATTACCAAATCCACGTGCAAAGGGTTTTAAAGTAGTGATGAATGTTTAAAATATCGAAGGTATGCATGCCATGTTGATATTTACCGCCATGATTGATTATAGGGTCAGACTAATAACAGAAAAATGGACAATATTAAGAGGTTTTACTATACACAGGAAAATATTAATAGTACAGATGATCTGTAAACGTTATTATAATCAGGAAAACGGGTCCAAATTCTGGATAACTACTTTTTAAACTTGAAATTCCAAGAAATAAATAAATTTTATGCAAGGTGGGACTAATATTCCCATTCAATATTTTTAATGAGAATTTTTTTTAAAATAAATTCCCATTCAATATATTTTTTTTAAAGTAAAGAAATCCTTTTTTCCACTTCATTAAAGGAAAAAATTAATAAACATATATGAATATAATTAATTAAATGATTTTTTGGGGTAAAATCTGAACTTAAATCTGAATAAGTTTAATTTTTTTATATTTATTTTATTTAAGTTAAAGATTCGATTATAAACGATTATTAATCGATTATGTGTAGCCGATTATTACCGATAATCGATTATGATTTTTTTCCGATTTCCCATCACTAGTTGTCCAACATAACACTCGTTCAAGCCAGTAATCACAGATAGACGAGGGATCTTATGTTGGTGTACATTTACTTTTTGGCAGATAAACACTTAATGGTAAGTACAACACCACCAACACTGTCATCTATCTGCCATCATCATAATAAGAAAATTGAAATAAAACTAATAATAATAGGCCTTAGGGATGAAAACCCCGAAAAATTCCTTCACACAGATACTTCCCACTGAAGCACAATTTCTATATTTTAGAGACATTGATGATTTGTCTATCTTGTTGAATGAATATTGTTAAGTACTTGCTTCAGTGAAAATAACTAATACTTATCCCATACTAACATGATTTTAAACAGTGTATATTGGATACTTGCCTCTCTGCATTGGAGAATTTCCCCCTGGGTCTTCTTCATTTTCTTCAGTTGTGACACAAAGTACCAAAACCTAGACTTAGCTGTACACTTGTCTGGGGCAAAAATTTTCATTTGGTACAGAGCAGGGGTACGGTCCCTTGGGCGAGGCATCATCCGCCCGACCACCTGGTACTCTTTCAACTGCGAAAAATAACCAAAACATCTTGAATTTCAAACTCGTTTTCAAAACATGCACACTCGTTTGCATACTGCACACACTATTCCTTTACTTTGTAATCTTGATCACAGAATTTATATCAAATCAAAAGTTCGAAGAAAAATGTATAACAACACATCCAGAACTTCATCACATGGCATTGCCCCCCCCCCTTTTTTTTCAAACTGTTTCTCTCAAATGAGTAATATTTTAAGTGAAAAAATATATAACCCACTGATGATTCTAGAGCAATGTTTACTTCTGCAATTAACAATACATAAAAAATTGACAAAAGGATCAATAAAAATATAAATTTAATTGAAAATTACATCTCCACGAGCTTTCATTATGGTGGACACGAGGAAAAGACCAATTCGCGTTTCTTCTCGCGCGAGCTCGCTGCAAAAGCGGAAGTAACAAATTCGATGCGCGGATCCAACTTTCTTCCCATGCATGTGGGCTGCGATGACATTTAATTCAAACCTGCATTAAGGACTAACCAAAGGGAACATTGGCATACATTTTTCATATAGAACAATTAATGTGATTAAAATTTTTTTAAAAAATTACATGTCTTTGATCGCTGAAAGATGTAGCTATAGAGTACTCACAGTAGGCTTTGCTGAAATAAATCATATAATTTCATATTGTAAAGATATTTTTGAAAGAAAGCAATAATTCTGTTGTAAAAATCGTCAACTGAGACTTTAATTGAGATATATCAAAAACTTCAGAAAATAATCATCCAGGAAGTTCTTAATATATTTCGATTAATTACGAAATGGTCACTGATTTAAAAGATCATCAGGTTTTTAAAATTGTATACATGTAAATTTTTATTCGAATTCTATAAGTATTTAGAAACTCATAACCCTATTATCCCTCATTTGATAGATACATTTACATATCCAATTAAACTTGTACATGCAAGTATTGCGGGGGGGGGGGAGTTATGATCTAATTCTTTAAACGTAGATTTTAAAGATTTTACATGCATCTGAACTGAATGACTTTAATTACAGATAGAATTGAAAATTTAAAACAGTTAAATTGTTACAGGAGTGAAGAATTCAGTTGCTATTTTTCCAGAAGGAATATTCTTCTATCTTTTCTTAAATGATGTTTGCGTGTCCCAGGTGTTTATAAATCTTTTTATTAATTAAAAAGAAAATATAATATCAAAATGCACTCTACAAAGTTTTTTTTTTTATTGTCAAATGATCTATAAGTGTTATAATACTTAATTGACATTCCCTCCAAAACAAGTCTATTATCAATTTTATTCATTTATTAATTTTTCTTATGAAAAACACGTATACAGTCGTGTCTTGAGAAAATAGGTCATTTGATTATTCTGAGTAATTACTACATAGCTTAGCTTGAAGAAGAAGAAGAAAAAAAACAAACAGGTACGTTCAAGCAAATACAGTGATGGAAAAATGTACAGATGTGTACGTATACAAAAAAAATTGAACGAAGTAATATACTTGCGCGTGAGACTATTTAGGTCATGGAGCAAAGTCATTCCAGATTTTTTTTTTCTTCTATGTCCACGCACGCCTTGCATGGTTTTTGACACCCCAGATCAGAGAAGAAAAAAAACTCCGTAAAATCAGTAGTCTATTTTGTTTGATTCTTTCTAAATTTTTTAAGAACTTGTAAAATTAGGTTTAAACTTGGCATTTGGTACAGTGTACCTTCATTTTGGAAAGGAAATTTTAATATCTTTCTACGAGGACAATTTATATAATTAAGAACTTATATAATATTTGTATGTATTTGAGATACTCATTATGAATTATGTATAATTTTTATAACTATAAATTTTTGTTTAGTTTAGTTTAGTTTTGTTTTGTTTGTTTGTTTGTTTGTTTGTTTTGGTGGAATTGGAATGGCGTAGTGGGAAAAACATGAAATAAGGAAGTACATGTAGTGGGAAAGGGGGGGGGGTCAAATCGCATTCTGAAAAGAAAAGCAGCTTACTTCAAAATAAAATATAGTAATAGATCTATATTTCCTGTATCATTCAATTATTGCAATTGTATTCTGATACATCTCTGTTAATTCACATAATAAAGGTACATGTACACTGTAAAAAATAAGTGTTTTAAAAATAAATAGCAGCTTAACAGCAACAATTAAGAGAAGGGGAGGGGGTTATCCAAGATATTTTCTATCATGTAAACCCCAAAAATGTAAAGTCTCCTTAAATTAAAAGTGCGCGGGCTGGGGATGAAAATTATTGTTGGTACTTGTATTGTTGCATGTTGTTAACGCTCATGTGTTGTGTATGGTCAGCAAATAATCATAATAATGCGTGATAGGGAGCATAAATTTTATCAAGGGCAGGTAATTGGATTACATTTACATACCAGGAATTCAATGGTGTGTGTGTGTGTAGGGAGAGTGGGGTGGGGTGACCCTTTTTCTTTGAATGCCCTTTAAACTCACCTCTCAAGGTTAAGTATGATCTTCGTTTAAAATCCCTTTCCTTTATCAAGTAATGTATACTTCTCAGGATTCACAATAACAGATGAACGTCCCTGCAAATTAATTAGATGTCAAAGTACTAAAAGACTACAAATATTTTATCGTCTACCGCTTCGCATGGCCGCATTGCACTCAGGACGATTACTAACGATAGGAAACATCCTGAATTTCATAAATGAAAAGTATTATAGATCTTAAATGTATTTAACAATCTTTTTTTCAGATTTTATATAAAGAAATGTATAAATACCTCCTGTTTCCTTCTTAGATATGGTGTTTCTTGTCAGTATATGCGTGATTCTGCATCTTCTGCGTTCAAATGGGATGTTATGACATAATCAATTGCGTCATTTTCTATCATAACGTGTTTAATTTGCAATTTCTCTATAAATACCATGTGTTTAATTTATAAACATATGATGGTTAAGAAATGAACACTCGTGTTAAACACCGGTGATTAAAATATTGATACAATTCTAAAAGTCATCATAATATTTGTTTCTTTTTCCCCTTTAACAGTTTATGAAAATTATGATTTTTTTGCACAAAATTACTATAAATTAATGTTAATTGTAATTGCTATTGGTATGATCTAAAGTCAACATATTGCCTGGCTATTCGTATTTTTTTCTGTGTCGAAAAATATCTTCTATTATGTGCGGAATTACTTCATAAATTAAGAAATTATACAAATGGCAAATGCACACAGCAATACTGAGAAGCAACACCTAATTTATTTTTTGATTTGATGCGTATGAACTTTACGAGTTTAAGATGGATGATTAAACACCATACTAATTGAACACCAGTTTAAATAGCAGTGTTTATTTATAAAACGCTAATGTTTTGTATTTAAATCCACTATGTTTAATTGTAAAACACGACTGTTTAAAAATTAAACACAAGTTAAACATCATTTTTTACAGTGTATACATATATATATATATATATATATAAATACATGATTGATATTATCATTATTAATTTTTTTAATACTCTTTTCCATAGATTATGTATCTGTTTGTTCTACATGAGGCAGAAGTGGATTTCTGTATATCCTTTAGCACCGACTCTTGCTGCCTCTTGTTGATGTATCAGACATTTTTTATGTGTTCAGTTATATGTATAATATTAGTAATAGTAATGCTGCTAATGCACATGATTGCACATTAAGTTGTATCAATTATGAGTACCGATATATCTTAAATCAAGACAACCTATGTCTACATATGAAACTCAAAACACCACCAATGTACTAAATGGAAGAATTGCTCTTCATTATATGTTGTATTCTGTCTGTTATCTTATCTGTAATTATACATGTTATATGTTTATGCCCATTGGGCCCTGATTTGGTAATAAATCCTATTCTATTCTATTCTATTCTATAGGTATATTTTTTCCCCTGATTTCACAACATCAAGTGGAAACAAGATGTGTTTGTGAAACACTGATGCCCCCGTATGGCAGCTTATGGCGAAGGTTAAAGTTTCTTCAAATGCAAGTCAAAATCCAGGCCAAAAGATAAAAAAATGTTGATACCCAAAGAAAGGTCTTGTCTCGAGGAATAAACCTGTGAAATTTGAAAGACCTAGATACAACTGTTCAAAAGTTATGGCGAAGGTTAAAGTTTTTTAAATAAAAGTCAAACGTCAAGGTCAAGGTCAAAGTGGTTGGTATCCAAAGGAAGATCTTGTCACAAGGATTACATATGTGAAGTATGAAAGCCCTAGCACCAACCATTCAAAAGTTATGGCCAAGGTTAAAGTTTTTCAAAAGTAGGTCAAACTCCTAGGTCAAGGTCAAAGGATCAAAGTGGTTGGTATCCAAAGGAAGATCTTGTTACAAGGATTACATATGTGAAGTATGAAAGCCCTAGCATCAACCATTCAAAAGTTATGGCCAAGGTTAATTTTTTTCAAAAGTAGGTCAAACTCCTAGGTCAAGGTCAAAAGGTCAAAGTGGTGGTTGATATCCAAAGGAAGGTCTTGTCGCAAGGATTACATATGTGAAGTATGAAAGCCCTAGCTCCAACCATTCAAAAGTTATGGCCAAGGTTAAAGTTTTTCAAAAGTAGGTCAAACTCCTAGGTCAAGGTCAAAGGGTCAAAGTGGTCGATATCCAGAGGAAGGTCTTGTCACAAGGAATACACATGTGAAGTTTGAAACCCTAAGCACCAACTGTTCAAAAGTTATGGCCAAGGTTAAAGTTTTTCAAAAGTAGGTCAAACTCCAAGGTCAAGGTCAAAAGGTCAAAGTTGTTGGTATCCAAAGGAAGGCCTTGCCACAAAGAATACACATGTGAAGTTTGAAACCCCAAGCACCAACTGTTCAGAAGTTATGGCCAAGGTTAAAGTCTCATAAAATTTTGCAAAAGGGGGTCAAACTCCAAGGTCAAGGTCAAAAGGTCAAATATGATGGTACCCAAAGAAAGGTCTTGTCACAAGGAATACACATGTGAAATATGAAAGTCATAGCTCCAACCAATCAAAAGTTATGGGCAAGGTTAAAGTTGACAACAGACAGACAGACAAACAGACAAACAGACAGACAGGACAAAAACAATATACCCCCGGGATCTTTCGATCCAGGGGCATAAAAACAATATAATTATATTTATCGGTTTGCGAAAGTTAGTTTTTTTGGATGGTGGGTGGGCATGGTGGGTGGGGTGGGGGATGGGTGTGATGAGTTGGGGGGTTAATTTGTACATGAATATAAACTATGTTAATTTTATTATCTCTTTATCTTTAAAAGAAAAAAAAAAAGAAGTGTTCGCGGACCAACAATTTAAGACTTTAATAATACTATAAAATTGTGTAAGACTTGTTTTTATTCCTGCTGATTATTTCGCAAATTAGGGAAGTACGCAGGAAACGAGATCTGCGAATAGCCTATATTGCAAAATCCCACCAAAGGCTTGGTAAATCCGCCACAGCGCTCATATGCAATTTCGGGTCAGTAACTCGCAAATAGTCGAAAAATGGCAAGCGGAGCATTTCAGCCTGGGACGGGTGTGGCTCCAGCCACCCTAGTGGAACTCTCTGTGTCTTGCAGGTGGGTGCAAGTTTTATTCTACCCTTTAATTCTTTCCAGAGTACGAAATTATGTATCTATAAATCGTTTCAGACGTTTGTTTACGTTTTGCGCATTACAACTCGAATTTCCTCTAATATTGTTTACATTAACCTGTTTACATTACAAGATTGAGTTTGTTTATTGACTTGAAAAGTCTTTTGGTAGACTTTCAGAAAGCAATGACAAAGAAATAAATTATACTTCTCTTGCTCCCCCCTTCTGTCTCTTCCTCTCTCTAAACACTCGATCAAAATAATGTTACCAGTGATTACACTGTGGACAGAAATTTAACGTTACTTCTTTTTCAGAAAATTGATTGATGCAGATGTGTTTTCCAAGTCAGATCCAAGTAAGAACACTATTCCTACTGTAATAACAAAAGTATGAAGTACATTTTAAATGCCTAGAATTGCTAGAAATTACAATTACATCTATGCCTTTGTTAAAGTCTTAATAGTTGATGCTTTTATTTTGCAGTGTGTGTTCTCTTCACCCAAGATCAAAGCAAGAATTGGAGAGAGGTAGTTATAAGATTCATGATGTTACATCTTCAAGAGTCTAAGTAAAATTTGCGACTCTTTGGTCTTATACATACTATATATCTTTCACTCTTTGATGCATCATAAAGGAATAATGTATATATATTCTTTCTATATTAATATTTCTTCACTTAGGGCAGTTATGTTAGTTTAAGAGTTGTTGTAAAATGTGCTTTATAAATAAAAATTAATATCATTACAACGTGTATTGGTAACGATCCTCTAATAAAACTAATGTCCAAATAACTGTATCTCACACTTCCATTCTCAATGAACTTGTAGTGTAGGACAGTGCCGCGAGAATTCCATCAGCATCGAAAGCAAGTTTAAGACTTGCCTAGATAGCTGAGTGGTCTAGTGCGCTGTTCCTGTGTTCCTGTACTGCTAGGAGACAGATTCTGTAGGTCGAGAGTTCAACCCTGGGCTGGGGCGGAAGTGGGTATCCTTATAAAAAAAAGTGAATTTCTTTGTGCTTTCTATATATATATATATATATATATATATATATATATATATATATATATATATATATATATATGTATATATATATATATATATATATATATATATATTTAAAACATGATTGTGACGTAAACCTTTTGTTTGTTTATTTTGTCCGTTCTATAGCTTAATGTTGAGCTAACTCCTCAAACAATCCATTAAGTTACCTGTAAGTGTCCATTCTTTTTGGAAAAATGTCCATTCTTTTTAAGAATGGACAGTTTTTTCAAAAAGAATGGACAGTTAAAACAAACAGAATGGAGAGTTACAGGTAAACTTTGGAATGTGCCCAGGAGGGAAACAAAAACAAATACATTAAATACGATTTAATTTACACGTAAATAACAACAAAGAACGTGGAGATCTAAGTTAATCCAGAACACAATGTCTGCACAGCATCTGCTCGATTTTACACTTTTAAATACATGAATGATGCACATTTCTTCAATACTCAAAACTCAATTTTCACTGAATTAAATTCAAAGCTTCAATTTAAATGACACAATTTCACATTTGATTCAAATTTTGGAAATATCATTCCCTCGAGAAGATCGAAGTACGGCTAATATTAGATCAATCACCCAGAACACAATTTGCAACATGAACACTACACTGCTCCATTAAATATTTCCGTAGAAAATAAAATTGAAACATTTTCAGATTTGATTTGAAATTCATTTTTCAGGTCTTTGTTCGGCTTATAGCTAATCCAACACTCAGAACACAATTTTCTTCTCACCATTACACTGCTGCAGTCAATGTATCCTCAAAAATTGAATTCAAATGAAACATTTTCAGACTTTGTTCGAATTTGATCATCTGTTTTTTTGTCGGAGAAGAAGTTCATTTCTTGGTCAAAGTTTGCCTAATATTGTCTTTTACTTTTCTCTGTTTCCAGGTCTCTCTTGCATCTTTTGCTTCATTACATGTATAATAGCTTTTGATTCTGTCATATACTCTCTCCATCGGAGAAAACGTTTACAACGCAAACTAAAACTGATTTTGAAGCATCGCATACTTGTATAAATACTGGAATCCCCCAAAATCCACCTGTAACTGTCCATTCTTTAGACAAAGACATTTTGTTATTTTTGCAACACAATGGCTATTCAACAATTTTCTGTGTACCCCTAGCGTACCTGTGACTGTCCATTCTGTAAACAATGAACTTGTCATTGTATGGTGCTACCTACCAAAAAATTCTTAATATCTAATACCAGTTTTGTACATTTTTATTTTAATTCTCTGAACAAAGGAAATCATGTTTTAAGTAGGAGAAAGGCCTCAAACTGTCCATTCTGTGAGAGAAAGAACTAATCTCGGGCCTACGGCCCTTGATTAGTTCTTTCTCTCACAGAATGGACAGTTTGGGGCCTTTCTCCTTTACACACACAAACACACACACACATATGTATATATATATATATATATATATATATATATATATATATATATATATATATATATATATATATATATATATATATATATCATCATCATCATTGAAAGCCCACAGTCATCTGACTTTTAGTAGTATTAGATAAGAGAAGAGAGACCAACCTTCAGTTGGTTTTCCGATGATGGGAATATATGGGAGATACTAATATGTACAACAGTTCAACAGTTGTTATAAAAAAAAACTATTTGCATTTCAAACCTTGGCTTTGTCCTATTAAGATAAAATTAATATAGACTAAAGCATTCAACTCAGGCCAACACTGCAGGTGAATAGAACCTTAATTTATTGTTTTTTAAATTACCTATATCAAACCATTATAACACAAATGATATGTTTAACTGTTTCTTTTTCTTCTTTTTTTCAGTTTGGACGAACTGAAATCATATGGAACAACCTTAATCCAGATTTTGTCAAAAAATTTGTGATGCATTACTATTTTGAACAAAGTCAGAAGCTGAAGTTTGAAGTGTAAGTCTGGGTTTTATTTTGCTATCAAATTTAAATACATTAATTGTCAGCACTGCATGAATTAGTTTACACGAAATGACACTCAATGCAGAATGTATGTGTGACATTTTCCTGTGGCAAATATATTAAACTAATTCTTCAGGTATCAGTTTTTAAAGATGCACCCAGTGGTAATTTGATTTATTAGCTCACCTGAGCCAAAGGCTCAAGTGAGCTTTTCTGATCATAATTTGGTCTTTGCATTGTCTGTCATCATCATTGTCGTTGTTGTTAACTTTTTACAATTTCATCTTTTTCTCCAGAACCACTAGTCAGGCCAATTTCAACCAAACACAGCACAGAGTATCCATGGGTAAAGGGGATTCAAATTTATCCAAATGAAGGGCCACACCCTCTTCTAAGGGGAGATAATTAAGAAAAAGTAAAAATTGGGTGGGGTTATTTAAAAATCTTTTTCTCAAGAACCACTGGGCCAGAAAAGATGAAAATTAAGTGAAAGTTTCCTGATATAGTGCAGATTCAAACTTATTCAAATCATGGGCCCCAGGGGTAGGATATGGCCACTATGGGCGATCAAAGTTTTACATGGGTATGAAAAGGAAAAAATCTTTTTCTCAAGAATAGGAAAACCATGATAAATCATATTATAAGGAAGCATCCTCAGGTAGTGTAGATTTAAATTTGTTCAAATCATGGCGCCCAGGGGTAGGGTGTGGCCAATATGGGCGATGAAAGTTTTACATGGGTATAAATAGGAAAAATGTTTAAAGTTTTTTGTCTCAAGAATAGAAAAGGCATGATTAATCATATTTATATTGAAACATCATCAAGTTGTGTAGATTAAAGTTTATTCAACTCACAACCCCCCCCCCCCATTCCCCCGAGTAGGATGTGACTACTATATTGGGCGATCATTGTTTTACATGGGTATAAACAGGAAAAATATTTAAAAATCTTCTTTCCAAGAATAGGAAAGACACAATTAATCATATTTGTATGGAAGCATCCTCAGGTTGTGTAGATTCAAGTTTGTTCAAATCATGATTCCTGGGGTGGGGAGGGCTACAATGGGCAATCAAAGTTTTCCATAGAATACTGTACATAGAAAAAATCTTTAAAGAATCTTCTGATGAAGAACAGCAAAGCCATCATCAGTCATATTTACAGTGTATATATGTAAGCATCCACAGGTATGTTCAGGTTTTTCAAATCATGACCCCTGTGGGTAAGGTGTGGGCACAATGAAGGATCAAGTTTTACATAGAAATAGATATAAAAAAATCTTTAAAAATCTTTTTACCAGGAATAGCAAAGTCATGATTAGTCATATTTATAAAAAAAAGATAGTGGAGATTCAAGTTTGTTCAAATTATAACTGCTGGATTATTCCCAGCAATTATAATTTGAACAAACTTGAATCTTGGACTATAATTTTACATGAGAATATATAGGGAAAAGATTCTGCTGATGAACAAGATGGGCCACCACAGTTTTCAGGTGAGAGTTGTGGCCCATGGGCCTCTTGTTTTTATAATATTTGTGTATTTTTTTTTTTTTTTTGAAGGGGGGGGGGGGGGTTAGTTTTGTTATTGGTGTGTTAATCACACTGACTTGTTATGTGGGCATATTTCATATAAGCCTTGACAAAAATGACCTATTAACCATGTTGACACTGTCTTAATCATTTATACAGATATGATGTGGATTCAAAGAGTGCAGATTTATCTAAGCATGTAAGTTAGAGGGAGAAAGAGAGAAGAATAAAATTGTATTTTAAGCAGATATATGCATGGAGTTGCTTTTAATTGAATATGATTATAGTTCACTATTTTGTTATTCTGTATGTGTTTCTAGAAAGTAAATATTCAGAGTGATGCTTTAAATTATACTCACTGTAGTACACATAAGTGCATATTTCTCATATTGCATTATAAAATATACAAGAACAAAATATTTTTCTGCCTTAAATACCCCAGGAATATAAACTCCAAAATGATTTTATCCTCTGGTGTGAAATAGGTTTAATGCTACATGTACAGGTATACATGTACAGATACATAGGTTCATACTGTATCATGATTTCCATGTGTGGATCTAGAAGGGGGGGTCTCTGCCCCCTCCCCCTCCTGGAATTTGCAGAATTATTAAAAGTACATTTGTATATACTGAAGGAAATTAAAGATTACTTTGCCCCCCCCCCCCCCCCCCCAAAAAAAAAAAAAAAAAACCTGGACACCACCGTCACCATGAAATAGGTTTTTATCATGTTTGGGAAATGGATTTTATTTATGTTTTTTTTTTTTTTTTGCTTGAATGTCAAGAAATTTCTGGGTTGGAAATTTTTTTTGACTGGGGTGCCCCCCCCCCCCATCAAAAAATTCCTGGATCCATGCCTGATTTCTGCCTGAAAAAGTGATTTTTACGAAAACAAACAGAACTAAGCAATAATTTCCATGACTTCAAAATAATCGCTGATCTTGAGACTGTTAAATTAGATCTTATTCAGAATTTCTTTATTTTTACTCTGTAGGACTTTCTAGGAAGAATGGAGTGTTCACTGGGTGAGATTGTGTCAGCTGGAAGTAAATTTATGAGAAGACTTGTGTGAGTTTTGAAGCTCTCGATCTGTATAAAATATTGGATCTGTCTTTAATTAAGAAATCAATCCAATCATCACAGACAGCACATGTCTTTTTTTATGACTCGTGTATCTGTTTCTTATAACATTGTAAAAAAAATGAACATATTATTATTACAGTTTCTAGGTACATGTATATGATTTTACAGTGTATACATATATACACAGGCATATACATTGTATATCTAAATTGCATTTCAAGTATCATGAAGAGATACATGTATATACATACATTTTCAGCCATCTTCAAAGAATTTCAAAATGTATATACAAAAAATTGACATTAATTGTGCTATTGAATTGTTGATTTTTATATTTTGATTTTTATAGAGGACCAAAGAAAGACAGTGGAGTAATTATAGTCGGAGCTGAGGAGCAGAGCAGCTGTAAGGTAAGCAATGGAGGTTTTGTAAGGTTATAACTCAACAGAATTGTTCATCATTTTTCATCATTGCAAGCCATGGTTTTTATGCCCCGCCATGAATATGGCCAGGGCATATAGTGTTTGTCATGTCCGTCTTCCATCCTTCCGTCCTTCCGTCTGTCCTTCGGTCACACTTTGCGTTTAGCTCTGTTCAAAGCTCAGTTTCAAAAAAACTATCCAAGATATTTTTATCAAACTTCATATGCTGATAGATATTGATGAGAGCTATGCAACTGCATCAACATTTTTTGACCTTGACCTTTCTTTTGACCTTGACCTCACTTTTCTTAAATTAGTGTTTAGCTCAGTTATAAAGATACCATTCAAGATAGTGTAATCAAACTTCATATGTTGATACATACGGATGTAAGCTATTTAACTGCATCAACATTTTTTGACCTTGACCTTTCTTTTGACCTTGACCTCACTTTTCTTGAATTAATGTTTAGCTCAGTTTTAAAGAAACCATTTAAGATATTTCTAACAAACTTCATAGGCTGATACATATTGATGAGAGCTATTCAACTGCATCAATATTTTTTACCTTGACCTTTCCTTTGACCTTGACCTCACTTTTCTTAAATAAGTTTTTAGCTCAGTTTTAAAGATACCATTCAAGATAGTGTTATCAAACTTCATATGCTGATACATACTGATGAGAGCTATTCAACTGCATCAACCTTTTTTGACCTTGACCTTTCCTTTGACCTTGACCTCACTTTTCTTAAATTAGTGTTTAGCTCAGTTTTAAAGAAACCATTCGTAATATTTTAATCAAACTTCATATGCTAATACATACTGATGTAACCTTTTCAACTGCATCAACAATTTTTAACCTTGACCTTACTTTTGATCTTGACCTCACTTTTCTTAAATTAGTGTCAAACTTCATATGCTGATACATACTGATGAGAGCTATTCAACTGCATCAATATTTTTTCACCTTGACCTTTCCTTTGACCTTGACCTCACTTTTCTCAATTTGTGTTAAAATGTTGCATTACTAATATACCCTCGGTGGGGCATTCATGTCCTATGGACATATTTCTAGTTTTTATCCACTAATGATTCTGTAGGAGAGGTAGCTGATTAAAACCAAAGCTTTCAAGGATGTTTTAATGAACATTCACATAATTATGCAGGATATATCACTCTCTAAGTCTGTTCTCTTACAGATACAACTAATATTTTACAGTTAAGTCTAATACAATCAAACTCGTTATCTCAAACTCGATGGAACTGAGAAAAAAATTCAAGATATCCGATGATTTGAGATATGGAGGGTAAAATATTTAAAGAAAGGTTGGGACTTCCAGATTACTTCGGTATTCAAAATATCAGTGTTCGAGATACTAAAGTTCAACTGTATCTTATGGAGTTATATGTGTATAATTCAGTTTATCAAATTGTAGGATAAGAAAACAAAACATATACAGTCTATGTATGATAATTGATACCTTCTATATGCCATAAAAGTACAGTCAAACCCCATTATCTCAAACTCAAAAGGACCCAGAAAAAACTTGGAGATATCCGAGGGTTCGAGATATTGAGGGTAAAATACTTAAAGATAAAGTGCTTGGGATTTCCAAATTACTTAGACATATTGATGGTATTCGAGATATCCGTGTTTGAGATACTGAAGTTCAACTGTATCTGCAAACAATTATAAATTTTCTATTTACATTTTTCAGTCAATTTGGTAAATAAAAGATGCAGGATTTAAATTTTTTGCAGTTAAATTTATTGTTGTGATTTTGCATGGTTGCACCAATAACAAATTAAAATTGTGCAACTTTAGACAGTTTCCATTCTGCAGTACATTTGTGTTTGAGTTGCTATCAACTATTCTGAGGCTCATAAAAAAAAATGAAATTGCCATACATGCACATACATGCTGATAATTTTAATTTTCAGGAACAAGCAACAATGCAGTTTTGTGCCCACAAGTTGGACAAGAAAGATTTCTTTGGAAAATCAGATCCATTCTTAACTTTCTACAAAACTAACGAGGATGGTTCGTAAGTAAAAGATGTCAGTGTATGATAATTCCAGTTAATTAAGCCTTATTAATCTGGACATTTGTGATCCCAAGCAAATTGTCCAAATTAATGAAGAGTCCAGATTAATGAAAAATACAGTCAAACCTTGTTATCTCGAACTCAATGGGACAAAGAAAAAAACTTCGAGATATCTGAGGATTTGATATATCCAGGGGAAAATACACTGTACTTAGAGTATAAGGGGTTGGGACTTCCAAATCACTTTGACATATCCATGGTATTCGAGATATGAGTGTTCCAGATACCAAAGTCAACTGTACTTGGTATGTTTGAATATAAATTGTTCCACACAAGTTTCATACGGAAGGTGAAGCATCTGAATTATTGGTGTATTTCAGAATAACCACTGTATGTAGCATACTCATTACAGCAGGTTATTTATTGTATGCAGTGGTGGACTGGAGTAAGTGAAATCAAAAGCAAGTGGCCAATGGGCCATAATGCTCACCTGAGTTACATTGTATTTTGACAGTTGAATACATTGTATGTAATGAGACCTTTCTGGTAGACTCTGACTATAAGTCTTAAACTAAGTGAAAAATATAATAATTTTTAGATATTAATGGTTGCATACATGTAGTAATTTGACAAACCGTAGCTTTGTCCTTTAGCTAGGTTATACAAAGTGATAAACATGATAAATTATATGCCCAAAGTTTTCAGAATAATGTTTTATGAAATATTGAACACAGATAATAAATGGATATTTATTAATATTCAGATACACAGTGGTTCACAGAACAGAAGTTATAAAGAAAACCCTCAACCCAACATGGAAACCCTTTACAATTCCTGTACGCTCACTGTGTAATGGGGACTATGACAGGTCAGTACAATGTAATATTACATATTTGTATACATATATATAAATTTATGAGTTAAAACAAAAACTGAATTTAATTGCTTAAAAACTATGAAACCATAAGCATGCACTATCTCAGTTGAATTTTCTGTGAATAATTTCATGTTATCTGAGTTAAAATTTGATAACTTTTTAAATTGATGCTCTAATCTTAGTGTAAAAACAATGATTTTAATGAAGTCACAGTCAATGTGCCACATTTAGAATCATTATATTACATGCAGTATCATTATTTAAGTGAAAAAAATAATTTTCATAAAATTTTTTTTTTGCAGAACCATCAAGATAGAATGTTATGATTGGGACGCTGATGGTGGGTAAGTGATGTGCCCTTAACTTACAATGTAACATTACATGAACCAGGAACCTGTATAGGTCCTTCCATGAACTATCCATTGCTCATCATCACAACAATAATTGTAACTCTAATTAAACTAAAATTCTCAATTAATGAGAGCCTCCTTTGACATATATTTCACTAATTCGGTTGTTATGCTTGCACTTTTAAAGGCATGACTTTATCGGAGAATTTATGACCAACATGAGAGAGTTGTCTAGAGGTCCAAGTCCACAGAACGTTTTTGAGGTAGGATATAAAAATATAAGATATATCTCTTAAATTTTTTTCATAAAAAAATAAATTGAAAATCAAATATTATAAATTCAAACTGAAGGGATTCAAAAATAAATCTCTGTATTACATTAAGTGGAGTAAAACTGCAGTGATCAATTTCACTTTTAAAAAGTTATCAAAGTTTTATGAAACAAAATCGGAGCATACAATAAAAGTTAGAGTCTTCTAAAAAACCTGCATACTTAACGTATTTTATATAAAATCACATTACAGTGCATAAATCCAAAGAAAGCACAGAAGAAAGGGGATAAATACAAGAATTCAGGAACAGTGAGTTTCCAGTTAAAATCACCTTAAATTGTTTGATTGTACAAGTAAACCAATTTAGAAATGTTAGCCTTGAAATTATAATTTAATTTTCTTCAAAATTAAGTATAAGAATGAGATATAAACTTGAAAAAGTGTACATGTGTTTGAAGTGTTTATTCTGTATATTTCTTTCAGGTGGAGTTAATGAGTTGTAGGATAGAGAAGGTGTATTCTTTCTTGGACTATGTGAGAGGAGGGTAGGTACACATTCTCAGTATATAAGTAATATAACAGGTGAATAACCCGCTCAGGTATGGCATGAAACTGCAATTTACAACAATTTTGTATTTATGGATGGGACAAATATTTCAAGAACAAAATGAAAGCAAAATTTCTTTCCGTTACAGGACCCAGCTTCACTGTACATTTGCTGTGGATTTCACTGCCTCTAACGGAGATCCCAAATCTCCATCATCACTCCACTACATAAATCCCTACAGACCTAATCCCTACGCAAACGCTCTCAGAGCTGTGGGAACTATCATACAGGACTATGACACGTGAGTGGACATATTCATGTAGATTATGAGGCTTCCTCTCCTAAATAATTTTATTTATGGATCAGATTCAAAGTTTTAAAACATGTACATGTATAAAGAGATTACAGTATTCCATTTTAGTATTTTTCATATCATTAAAAAAAGATTATTTTTCAGAACAGATCAATTTAATTTCATCATCTATCTTAAGGAAATGCACACTGGAAGATGCTTTACTTTTGAAAGTAAAGTAGTGTATGGAGTTACAGAATGATAAGACTGATATTCCTTAATTTTTTTTTTTCAGTGACAAGTTGTTTCCTGCTCTGGGATTTGGTGCCAGACTTCCTCCTGATGGAGTTGTTTCTCACGAATTTGCTCTGGTAGGACACAACGTCATGTTTGATTCACATTTTAATAACGTATTTGACTATTTTTCACTGACCTGTGTAACTTTCCTGTGTAATTCATATGTAAAAATTTTTTCAATATAAATGTTTAAGTACATGTATGTTTATTTGTAGAATGGCAATCCAAACAACCCATACTGTCAGGGAATTGATGGAGTGTTAGATGCTTACCACAAAGCCATTCAGTCTGTACAACTGTATGGTCCCACAAACTTTGCTCCTTGTATCAACCATGTGGCTAAGTATGTTGGACTATAGTCAACTTCTTGCTTTTTAATATCAAAGACTGACTTAGATAATTTAAATGTGTAAATTTGTGATTATTTTCATTATGTTTTGTGAAAATCATATTTAAAAAAATATTTTGAAAAATAGAAAAAAATATCTTTATAATGGAAAAAAAATTAAGCTTAAAAAGGATCTGAATTTGTCATGAAATCCCATTAAAACAAGTATCCAAAATATAAGGACATAAAGTATAATCTTCAAATATATGAGATCTAGCTTTGATCACATTTTTTAAATGCAGTAAATAGACAAGATCTAACTGATGAATTATTGATTAATTTTAGATTTGCTTCTCAGAAGCGGGATGGGAATGATTATTTCATCCTTCTGATAATCACAGACGGAATCATCACAGACATGCCACAGACGTGTGAGGCCATTGTTAATGTAAGTAATCCTCAGGTTAAGATACTAGAAATAGCAGTATGAATGTGATTGAGCAGGAAATAAGGCAAAAGCTACAAAATTATTGTTCGGTACTTTTGTGTTTGGCTACAAAGTGGTTGGGACATATATATAATTCGTCCATTTTTCTGTCTTTCCAGAATATAATGAATTTATGGACATTTAACCTTAGATGAAAGTTATAATCTGAATTTCCATAATTATGTGGTTGTGTGAAAATAAAATATGAATTTTAATTGAATATAGCCCTAGGATTTTGAACTTCATGAATTCAACATATGTAACTTACTTAGATCAGAAAAACTTGTGTCCAACCAATGATAATTCCTCTTTGTAGACTTCTATCATTCAGAATAATCTTTAATTGAAACCCTGAATATCTGTGCATGTCATTGTTTGCTAGGGATGGGTATCGGCAAAAATTTCGTATCGTGATAAATCACGATTTTTTCCTAAAAATATCACGATAAATCGTGATATTTTTGCACACAATTTTTAATACAATTTCAAATGAATTTCCTTAATATTTCTTAAAATATGTTATAAAAACATAATTTTTATCTTTAAATTTTTATTTATTTAATATAAAGCATGTGGGGTACCTAGTTTCAACGTTTTCTACACTTTCTGTTATTGTCATTCAGTAGTTTGAACAAATAAATGAATAATTTCCCGAATTTATAGTTATGTGTCAAATACCGGTATTTCAGTCTACGTATCACGATACATATTACGCAATAAAAAATCGCGATTAACCGGTATACCGATAAAATCGCGCATCCCTATTGTTTGCGCATTATTTGTAACTTATATAGTTTTTATACAGTTTTAAGTGTGTGTATAAATTGTAGGCTGCCTCGCTACCCCTCTCTATCATCATAGTTGGCGTTGGTGATGCTGACTTTGAAGGTTAGATATATATTTATGCATTTTGTTAATTTTAATTATAAAGAAATTCAAAAAGTACTATTCAAAAAATAATCTTAATTGTGTTTATCCAAAGTAACTGAATCAAATAGTGCTGGAATTAAAATGTGAAGTATATAAGTTACAGATATAGAGTGGTATTAACTGATATAAAGTTGTATTAAGTTTATAGATAAAAAAAACATTTAAGAGATGAATTTAATTTTTGAGAATTCATGAGGACATGAACTATGACGCTTCACGCCGTCATATTTCACACACTTCATGGTAAATATGCAGGCATGAAGCGTTGTAGCTGTTCATGTACCTCATGAATTCTCAAAAATTAAATCCATATCTTATATTTACATTATTTTTCTGATGACTTGCCATATATTTTTGTCATTCAACAATCATTTTTGAAAAAATGAACTTCTAATTTGCAAAGAATCTTAACTAAGGAAAAATATTTGGAAATGTAAATATAACGGTGTCAAAATAATTTTGTTCAGCTATGGATATTCTGGATGGAGATGATGTTAGGCTGTCTTCCCGTGGTCGCTATGCAGAAAGAGACATTGTACAGGTATTGTTCTTAATTCACAATAGACCACATTTCTTCTTGTTTTCTTCTGAAACATTCAACTCTGATCAGAGAAAATATCAAATTTTTCTTGTGACTAATTGTTTGCAGGGCTAGGAAATTTAAATGAAAAAAAGATTGAAATTTTAATTTAAATACCTAGTACATGTATTTCAAAATTGCAAGTAGTTATTTGATAAAGACAAGGCAAAAATATGCTTTCCATGTACATGCATTATAATGATAGCTAAAAATATATACATGTATAAAATTTATCGTTCCCAGTTTGTTCCAATGAGGGATTTCCAGGGACGAGCAGGAGAGAACCCGGCTACAATCCAAGCCATGTTAGCAAAGGAAGTTTTGGAGGAGATTCCAGACCAGTTTCTGTCATACATGAAATCTCGGAACATTAAACCCAAACCTCCTCTCCAAAGGCAACTCACCATTTCATCAGTGTCGTCCCTTCCTGTAACGGAGCAGTGAACTGCATACAAACAGCTTGAAATTAGCTCGGACATGCTTTTACAGTGATTGTGAAATAGAGGCATTAGTTAGTGAATTCTTACAGACTAAAATTATATACATGTATGTAGCCTGATAGCTGTTTTTCACATTCAACCAAGTTTGACTGAGTATGATTGTGTAATTAATAACATGTAACCTTGTACTTACCTCTATCTATGAATTTTATACCCTTGTAATTATACCTCTGTACATGAATTTTACCTATTGATATGATCATACAAAATTTACATTTTATTGTTAAATGAAGTTGTGTTTTCTCTTGCCATTCCTCAATAGAACAATTCCCCCCTTTTATCTAGTTATACAGCCTTTTTTCTGTATCATGTGTTCTATGGGTTACATGTAGGAATAACATAAAGTAAATGTAGAAATTCATGGCAGACATTTTACAATGAGAAGTAATTTTTTGCCATAATTTTATGTCTTTGTATATAATTTATATAGCAGCAAGAACATTCTTGTATCACAGATATACCTGCCACATATACATGTGATTTGTATTATCAACAGCACAATGCATTATTCATTTGCAGTAACTATGAATAAAATCTATCTATTTCCATTTTAATTCCATTTTTGGAATACTAAAACTTAAATTCAGCACTTATGCTGGTCTTTGTTGCTTTTTATTTCTTTGTTTTTTGTCATTTTCTTGTCTTGTATAAAAATTTATATATATATTATTGTCAAATGGTACATTCGTTTTATATAATTATGGTTGAATTATTGGGATTTTTTTTTTCTGTAAATGAAAAGATTACTGAGTATCAGTATTGAATCAGTATTGACATTTGGATCTTGAACTGTTTTTATTCCCTTTGGTTTGAAAAAATTAAGAGAACAAAATAAATTTTCATACTGTATACGGGGTTATTTTTACCCTGTTTTATTTTCGCCCTTTCACATTTGCAAACAACTTTGTCCCTTTTTAAATCGCTCAGACACAACTGTTTCAAAGAGATAATGTTGTCTTCTTTGATATGTTTGAAAATTTGCCCACATGCATCAAGGGAGAAAGAGGCGAAAATAAATCTGGAACAAATATTTCCCTGTATACAGTAATTACAAGCTAGGTGTAAAATATTATTCTTGTATTTTTATCTGGATTGAGAATCATAAGTGGAAATGTCTACACATGTAATACTAACACATGATATAAAAAGTACATAATTAAGTTGATACAAGTTTGTTATTAATATTTGTATTTATTGTCTATGAGCAATAATGTACATATTTATTATTGTTATTTTATATACCCTGTAGCGTATTGCTTCTAATTTACTGGTGCTTATGACTGTTCATTGAAAATTTTCACAAATTTGGTATGTATAGTACATAATTATACACACTTCTCCATGATATTATATCTATGTAATTTGTGTTATACATATTACATAATTATCAACCACTTTCTGTGACATGAAAGGAATATGGATGTTTTTTAAAGAAATTATTAAAATATGTATCTGAAGAATCCACATAATTTTTCTGAGCCAAATTGTAGATGACAAATTGTTTTAGGTTTTTTGAACAGAGATCACGGCCATAGTAAATAAGTTTAAGTGTGGAAGTGTATCATGTTTAATGTGAAATGCAGCATACAGATACCTTCAACAATCTTTGTCTGGAACTAGGAAGCAATGAACTGTTTTTTGGTGTGTGTTTGTGAGCCAGGATTGCATAATATATTTTTTAGTCATATAATTTGTTTTAATTTTAGTGTTTTACTAGGGAGGGGGTGGGAATGGGCATGAATGGGGATCTATGTGTGCATTACAAGTCCCTACAGCATATCATTTGTTTTTGTTGGGTTTTTTTTTCTTTCTTCTTCTTTTTTTTTGACCAAACATTTTTGTACCTTTGTTTTTGGACTCATGTATACATTTATTCTTGTGAAATTTGAATATTTTTAACATGAAGGAATTTCACATGAATGATTAAAAAATTGACATTGATTTGATAATCGTACTCTGGTTCCATCAGCATTAAAGAAATGGATTTATTTTAATATTAGTATTGGTATCTACCTATCTGTGAGTATATAAACAAGAAAATCAATAGTTTTCCAATATTGTTTGTTTTTAACCATATACCTTTGTCATCGTATGCTAATAATTTATCTTGTTATAATTTTTAATAAAAATATTTTTTCTCCCAATATTTACTTAAAATTATACATGTATCTATGTAGTGGTGTTATAAAAAAATTGAGAGAAGGAGTTTATGAAGAATTTTTTAGCCATTTAATTGGAAACTTTACCTGATTATGCTGATGTTACAGTCAGAAGAAAAAAAAAAACTACCATGACTGAAGGAAATGAGCTGACATATTCTGCATGGCTAGTTATTCTTACAGAATCATCAATACTGCACCTTTTTTACGAATCTAGTGTACTATACACTGCCATATCTATACTGAAAAAAATATTTTCAGCCAACATTTTAAACAGTAAATTGGTGGGCAACACTCACATATTTCCATAAATAGACGAGGTTTTTTAAGTTCTTTTCAGTCAAATTTATGGTAATTTTGAACATTTCTAAATTAGTTGTTATCCATATCCCAAGAACAATAAAACTTCTTGGTAGGGAATTAATGAGGACACCTGTTTTTAGTCTTTTCAATAAATCTTCCTTACAATCTTATTAAGAGATCTGTTTGTATATGAAATATGAAGATAACGAACACTTATCAAGTTCGAAAAGTATTGCAACAATACAAATTTGGTGCAGACCTCTAAGACCATTAGAGGTGGGATGAGGTGTCATGGAGGAGTAAGGATCCCCTGTCAACCTGTCACACCCGCCATGTGCACCTTGTCATGATCGGGCAAACGGGAAAATCTATAGACTATTCAGTGTGAAAATAATTGCCTAACAATTTGTAAGAAAAACGTCAGTTAACACTTGACTTGATGATAGATTGTACAGTGTATTTTTGTATTTTGCAAATTTGCGAAATGTTGTCATTAAACTGGACTGTTGATCTTCTTGTATCATCAACTTATTTGTTAATAGCTTGCCTTATTTTAGAAATTGTTTGCATGTATACGTAGAGCATGCTCAGGTGCATCGATTCAACTAGGAGGCATAAACTCCATATGCCGGTGATAATGGTATATTGCTACTTAAATTAGGGAAGTTGACTTGAAAAGTTTATATTATCATAAGTAGGTAGTTAATATTTAAGCTGTTTAATATCTAGGCACTGTAGTGATTTTTTTAGTTTAAAAGTTCGAAAGCAATAGTCGATGAATATTTGTAAGAAATACAAGGTGTGGATTTCAACTTGAAATATAAATACAAATCTGGAGCCTTTTGTGATTAATATATTACCAATCTTTACTGCGTCAATTCCTTTGTTGGCAAATTTAAATTGAAGGAATAAACAGGTTACTTGAGCAATATTCTCTTCAGTAAAATGTGGCGGTTTAAAAAAAAACCTTCGATTTGGAATATCCGTACTCACAGATCCGAGCCTGTATTCTGATGTCGGAGAATATACGTCGTGTATAATAGGTGTACTGTAAGACTGATTTCCATGCATGGCTACGCTTACGTCTCTGTGTATTGTTAAAAAATCCCATCGCATTCACATTCTTACACTGTAGACATGAAAGATCCCTAACACTATCGACATTATCATTGCTATCATATCTGCATATGGAAAGGCCGTGCCTAGTTTCTTAATCCAGTATTCTTCTCAATGTCTACGGAAAGGTGTAGGCAGTGATGGGCTATAACATGTAGTAAGATGTTAAATCTTTCCTAAAATTCTAACTTTCATTGACAAAATAGAATGATCAGGAAAATTATAGTGCTGGCCTCCGTTGTTAATTTGAAATCTATACCGTTCACTTGGTTTCACCGACATAAAAAGGCCCACAAAGAATAATATATTCGATAATATATGGACTGGACTAATGGACGAATATATCCGACAATATATTCGAGAAGTGGTGTAAATCAGATATGGATACTTAAAAATTCCAAGGAACTTTTTGAAAAATTTGAAATCACAAAAATTTACCAAAATGAACAACATTCAAACTTACGACTTTTCAACTTTATATACAACCATTTCCTATGATAAATTAAAGTCCAGGCTTTTTGACATCATCGACAGCTATTTCAATAAAAATGGAAGTCGTAAATTTACTTACATTGTCATTGGTAATATGCAAAATTACTTTGTTAAAAAACTTCTGATTGTACACACAAGTACTCTGAAATTGATATTAAAAAGATGATTGAGTTTCTGATTGACAATATCTACGTGGTTTTTGGAGGCCAGGTCTTCCAACAATCTATTGGAATTCCCATGGGTACCAATTGCGCCCCGTTATTAGTAGACCCATTTTTGTTTTCAAAAATATGAAGCAGAATTTGTTCTAAATCTTATACGTGAAAAGAAGAAAACACTTGCTGTGGCCTTCAACTCGACATTTAGATATATCGACGATGTATAGTCAAATTACAATGGTTATTTCCAATCATATGTCGACTCGATATATCCCGGTGAGCTTGAAATAAAATATACCACAGATTCTGACACATCTGTTTCATATTTGGATATTTTACTAGAAAAAGACGCTAATGGTAATCTAACAACAAAGCTTTATGATAAACGTGATGACTAACTTTTCAATCGTTAACTTTCCATATTTATGTAGAAATATACCCTTATCACCTGCATACGTTGTTTATATTTCTCAGTTGATTCGATACGCAAGAGCATGCTCTACGTATGAACAATTTCTAAAACGAGGTAAGTTATTGACAAACAAGTTGATGAAACAAGAATATCAGTAGTCTCGTTTAAAGTCATCATTTCGTAAATTCTATGGTCGATACAATGACAGTCAGTAAATACAATATATCATTAGACTAACATTTTTCATATTAATTGTTAGACCATTATTTACATACTTAATTATCCGTTATTTCCCGATCATGACAAGGAGCACACGGCGGGTGTGACCGGGTGGCAGGGGATGCTTACTCCTCCATGACACCTGATCCCACCTCTGACATTTTAGAGGTCTGTGTTTGCTCTGCTATTGATTTGTTTTGTTTAATGGACATTTGGGCCAGAACACTGTTTGTTATCTCCATATATTTCATACATTCTATTCCGCAGACAACATTAGAAGAATTGCAGTTCAGATTTTCCCAAGTTTTGGTATAAGGGCTTTGTCCAGTAAGATTACTAGTAAAAGAACAGCTATAATCAAAACATCACAGGTTTTACAGTTTTTAGCAGAAGATTTATAAATAGATGACATGGGGTTTGAAAAGGATTCTTCAAATATATGTACAATTATAGAAACTTTACATTCATTCAAATTTTTGTAGGAATTGTTGGTTTTATATACCAAAACTGAACATCTGAAGACAGCACATACGGTATATGTCAAATATCCCTGAGGATTATCCGTAAGACACCAGTGAACTCTTTGAGACTCTCCTATAGACTCAAAAGAGTGACGCTTTTTTTTATATACTGGGATGGTTTGTACTAACTCATGAATAAGTACCGAACAACAAGTATCCTTGGGGATCACTTGTTTAAGAAAGTATGAGAGTATGTAAATTGCATTTGCTTCTTCTGATAAAATGCATTGAGATATATTGAGGAAACCTCTGATCTTGCAAGAAAAGGGAAATAAATTAAATCAAATTAAGATGCAGTTAAAACGTTTGAATTTTCATGGTCCCTTGGAAGCGGAGGAATATGTTAGCATCATGCAGTACAACTGTGTATTACAGTATACAGAATTATATTCGGGTAAGAATAAAATTCAAAAAAGATTTCACATGACATTGTTGTTATCCAGAAAGTTCCAGCTATTCATTAATTAGTACGTATACACATTCCATGTCTTTTCGAAATTAATAACTTGGTGTAAAGTATTAACAATAGCGCGTCGAAATTTGTGATAATTTTCCTGAGATAGAAATTCTTTAACAATAACCATAACTTACATCATATATCGTCAAAACTATACATAACTCCGGACAATATCACTATGAAGAAATGATTCTCTGCTTGCAAAGGTATGATACTTTAATTGAAAAATTACCTACCACCTCTTAAAAAGTTTTCAACTTCAACGTGTATTTGTTTTAAATTTTGCTCCTTATGGTATATTGATTGATTGATTGTTTGTTGTTTAACGTCCCTCTCGAGAATTTTTCACTCATATGGAGACGCCACCACTTGCCGGTGGAGAGCTGCAAATTTTGTCCTATACTCGGCACTTACGGCCATTGAGCAGTGAGGGATCTTTTTCGTGCCAGAACCTACTGCGACACGGGACCTCGCTTTATACGGTCTCATCCGAAGGACCGGTCTCCACGTCCCACAGTGGGATTCGAACCCGCGACGTAAGGATCAACTCTTTACTTCGCGACTCTAGAGCAGACGCTCTAACCACTGCGCCACGCGGGCGACCTCCTTATGGTATAAAGAATTTGTTTAATTTCATTCTATATCCTCTCTTTTGTCAGAAAATTGCCATCGGTTATCATTATAAAATCCAGTTTAGTTAGCGGATGTTTGTTCTTCTTTCTACCAGAAAAAATTACTTGTGAGTAGCCAACAGACTTAATTTCCACTATTAACATTATTTTTACATCAGAAATAACGTGAAATATCTTCAGGTTTATAGTTTTTGCTAAGTAAGACTGCAATTAACCATATTGAAATTGATAATGTTGATATCTTATTTAAGATGAATATTCTACAAATATGCTACAAGAGTACATTGTAAATGTTGGTTGAAGTAATAAAGACAAAACCTGTACATTAAATCTTACATCTCGGCTTCTTTTGCACAATTTCTTCAGTTTTCTCCTAGAGTACATCATTTTTTAAAATACTTATTCGTCTAAATAACTTTCATTTGCAGACTACGCATCTGAGACATGTTTTAAAGGAGCAGAATATGATCCACGCAGGTTAGTTTAAATATTTTTTTTAATATAAATTTAATAGTTGTTTCGTTTCACTTGTCAGGTGCCTTTTTAAGAATCTCTGCAATACTTGTGAAGTACCACGTCCAAATTCAGTTAAGTTGCGCCAATCACAAAAACAAAAATTTAAAAGTGCTTGATATACAAAAAGAGGGGGTTTTCTCTTCAAAAAATAAAGGTAAATTAACCTGCTAAAAATTTCACTGTGAAATATATCAGTCGGTAGAGCGCTCGTTCGAATCACGGCCGCGACTGACCTAAGTCAATAAAAAATAGGTAGCAACTATTCCTTCGCCAATCGCTTGGCACTTTGAAGTGAAAGTTGCGGGTCTTTCGGATGAGTTCTTAAAAACCGAGGCCCCGTGTCACGATAGGCGTTGGCACGATAAAGAACCCTCACTGCTCAATGATCCTGAGTGCCGAATAAAGGTCTAAATTTTAAGCTCTTCACCGGTCTATGGTGACGTCTCTATATGAGTGAAAAATTCTCGAACGGGACGTAAAACAACATACAATCAATCTATCAATCACTCACTACGAAGTATATCAGAAAAAGGTGTAGTTTTCATTTCCATTTGCTTTGCATTTTCGACAACAATATATTTATAGTACAAATTTTATGTTCTTTTAGCAAAGATTGTGTTCGGAATACAACATAATTAAGAACTGAAACTGCTTTAGGAAAAACAGAATGGTTTATTGAGTAACAAATGATTTTTAAATCACAACAATTATCAAGATAATACACCAAGGGTGCTCGTCGTGGGGGATGATTATATATATATATATATATATATATATATATATATATATATATATATATATATATATATATATATATATATATATATATATTTACTTCAACACTTAACTAATTTATTTTTATCTTGACAATAACCTACTAAACTTCAACATCACAAAAAGCTTTGAGAGATGATACTACAAAATTAATAGTTTCTTTTTTTCAATTGCCAAATCAAAATCCTTTATACACATAATCAAGAAATGTTCAGGACTATCCCTAACAGAAAACAGCATTGTTTTTGTATATATATATATATATATATATATATATATATATATATATATATATATATATATATATATATATATATATATATATATAAACTGTTGACAATTAGAATATACATGCATAAGTTATAGCAAAATGTGGTTGAAATTACGAAATGCTTTTTAAAATCTTTGTTAAGCTTCTATCAGTATGAGTATTATTTCAACATTAGTAGTTCCTATTGCAGATTTGCATTAATTTTCCTTAAACGAGTATGTCTACTGAAACGTTATACGGCATTAGATCACCTTAATTAATATGTGATGAAGCAATAAACAACTGTATTCGATAATATAAATTACAAAATGGGAAGAAAAGGAAAAAATTATGTACCTACACGGGACTTACTAAGTGAATTAAAATTAACAAGGATGATCATATCATAATTTGTAAAAATCACCTACTCATATTGAAATGACAGTCTTTAACCTTGAACAATCCATTATCATCATAAGTAACAAACAAATTATTCAGATATAAAGTAAAACATAAATAACACAATGTAAATACACAGAATACTGTAGAATACTGTAGAGGATATGATTAAACAGCAATAATCATTTGATCATCAATAAAACAGCACAGGATTTAAGCACATCCATAAAATTACTTAAGTTTGGAATGGTGGGGAGTACATAATAAGTCATATCAATACAATAATAAAACAATATATAATGGACGGCTTAGTTCTGATATGTACAGCTAAAATACGAACGATAAAATATATACAAAACATAATGATGGCACTGCTTTCCAGGGAAAAAAACTATTATAATTTCAAATACTTTCGGTATTCATCTTTTTACCTATGTACGAAACTTAAAAAAATCGAACGAGACGTTATAGATTCAGTAACTATATCCGGTACCCAATGATTGCCAATTATCTGAGCAAGTTTTACTGTCAACCAAGTAAAAGAAAAGAATCTAATAGAACAAGATACAAAACAAATCATTCATTAGAAAATTTTGTTCAATCAATTAGCAGTGCCTAGAAAGCGGTCCAAAGATGTAACGATCATAAGATATATTTATCAATCACAGCACTTCACCATAATTATAGTTCTGCAAGGCCTTATTAGAGGTCAGTTAATTCTGACAGATACATTCAAAATACAGTTAACCTCATTATATCGAACTTGATGAGAAAGGTCCAGGAAAAGAACTTCGAGATATCCGATGATTCGAGATATCGATCGAGGGAAAAATACTTAAAGAATAAGCAGTTGGGACTTCCAAATCACTTCAAAATATCCACGGTATTCGAAATATTGGTGTTCGAGATACCGAAAATCAACTGTATATTTCTCGATATTACACCACTTACATAAAAATTATTCTTATTAAAATGCCTTCATTCATTATTCTGATAGAAGCCATGTTTGTTTAATTCTAACGGCAAATTCTTTTCGATCCTCAAGGAATATTGATAAACTAATTTATGCATAGAATGAGTTTGATTCAAGGTAAACTCTTCCATTGGTTTTGATTCCGAAGAAAAATATGTTCAAAAATTCATATTGATTTATAAGATAACTTACCTATTGACTTACATATGATGAATTAACATCTTCTATTAAATATATTTATGAAATTTCCTCAGTTTGACTGAGCTTTAATACTAGCAATTTCTTAATTCTCGGCTTCATAGCATGACCCCTTATGTTTGTTTGCTAAAAGATAATGGATGTATACATGCTACCAAAAATAGCCATTAAAAAGTGTATGTTTAAACCACCCTCTAGAAATCTTCACTGTGACTGCGATATTGCATTGTGCTAAATACAGTTCATTTTTTATAAAGAGCATAATGCTTTCAGACAATCAATGACCTATGTGGTCATGTGTACAACTCTTGTTGTTGTACATAAATCCCATTAACATCAATATGGAGTAATTAAT